GAGGAAATCAACCGGCCAGGTGGATTCTACCGCAGAGATGTTGGATGGAGAGCACTTCCCCACTAGCAATTTCCCACTATGTGTAGATTAATGCTATATCGTACATTGTTTCAGAGGAGAACAATTGTTTGCCGTAAATAACTATCCCTTACTAATTTCTTTGCTTCCCTTTAAATTCTCTGGTTACCATACATGTAACGATGCAAGTGTCAAATTCAGGTTTTAACTGTTTAAAATTTGGGTATTCAGATTTTTAGTTTAAATAATTTTACAGAGGCTTACAAATTATTTTATTTATAGATATTAAAGAATAGAAATTATTTAAATCAAAATAACAATTGGAAAACCCAAACATGCATTAATTCTTCAGTATAGTTCATACCACTAACAACATAAGTAATATAAGTTGCAAAATCAATTAAATTCTCAACTTAAATAAATCACGTTAAGGATTTTATACCTATTAGAATAATTAAGCCCTATTGATGAGTATAGTATGGCATTGGGTTCCCAGTACTTCTCCAAAGGCCCAAACTACTTCATTAGGTATTATACCAACTATAAAACACCTTGTGGGTACTGGATGAGAAATGATGGCAACTCTAGAATGTTTCGTTTTCAACTGTTATCAAACTTAATTCTTTATATTTGTTAATAAAGTTTCATCATTTATAAAAAGAAAAAAGAAAAAAGTAAAGATTTTAGAAATAAAAATGTGCAGTGCAAGCAGGACTGTATTACACTTTTTTAAATTTCAACATTAACCTTGGGTTTCACTACATTAACATTTATATATGGTATTTAACCTTTATAAATTACAATAGAATGTCAACCTCTACGCTAAATGTTTTCTTAAAAATCCTTAAGTGGTATCACATGTACGAAATCTGGATACAAATGTGTCACTTGCTTTGCTATAAAGTAAGAAAGGGAGATTTTTACAATGACCATCTTCTTCCTCACGGTTGACCTTCTTGTGGATGATTGGAAGAACATTGGTTTAAAATGAAATTTGCACCTTCAGACAATTTGCAAGAGAAAGAGATGTCTTCTTGCAAAATAGGTTGCTAAATTTGCCTTATACAACTTCGAGAACTTAAATACTATCATGAATCAAAGTTAATATATCCTAAATGAAATTAAATGATATGTAAATAAAAGTAAACTTGCAAATAAAAGATGCATCTAAGTAAAACTAAACATGTTGATTATCAAATTAAACTATTATCTACAAATAGATCTGGAAATCAAAATACTGTAGAGCTTGTGATTTAATTCCAAATAATCATGAACCTAATATGAAAAGAGATTAAACTAACATACCAAAAATTAAGAAGAAGTGTGAACGCCATATAAATAATTATTTAAAGAAACGCATTTATCTTAAATGTTGAACTAATACCAGTAAAAAAAAAAAAGAACAATACCTTGCAGAAATTAAAAACCTTGATATGCATTATACGAAAGGAAATCATAGAAGCAACTACACAAACTAATTGGCTATTTGAATGCTAAAATCAACCTAAATCTACTGGGATCTATGCTGAAAAGCAAAATCTATAAAGCTAAAACGAGCAATTGTTATAAAACTAGAGAATTGAAGATTTTACGAGTTATGTGTAAGGCTAGCATGTATTGAATGATAAAAAAATTCCCTTTTGTTTGTTTCCTCCCTACCTACAATTCCCCATTACCAAATGGTTACATGAACATGGGTGGTTTTCTGGAGAAGATGGACACCTCAACAATTGATTGAGTCAGATTTCCGCTTAGATTTCGCCATCTGTCACTATTATCTACCAACACACAATCTTAACTAAAACAAACTTCTAAAAACCAGTTGAAGCAATTCCACCATGACTCAAATAAGCAACTAACGGATAAACCTTATCGTTGCAACCCGTTTCCATTTTTTCTTTTTCTTTTTAAACATGTGGCTTCTGATCTGTTAAATGTCCCAAAACAACATATCTAATGTGGCTTAATCTCATCCAATTATTTAAAATGAATTAACACGTGCCATAATCTTAATCTTGTAATTTACAGTGTAAACACTATATATATGATATTTAACATTTATAAATTACAATAGGATGTCAATTTCTACACTATATACTCATTTTGTTCATTTTTAATAGATTTAGTTTGATTTTTTTACTTTTAAGACATGAATTTTAAATGAAAATTTAACCATTTATGTGAACAACAATTGGAAATTTTTTTTTGTTCCTATATATAATTCTTGTTAAGTATTTTTATTTTATTAAAAAAAATTCAATTATTTTTTATATAACTTGTTAAATTTTTATCTAAAATTTAAATTTTAAAAGTCAAAAAATCAAACTAAATCTGTTAAAAATGAAAGAAGGAAATATATGATATTTAACCTTTATAATCTGAAGTTGTATCCTCCATTATGATGGAAAAAATCTGAATTTTAGCGTCTTTTGTTTGGTATTTTGTTACTTGACTGAGATTATAAAAAAAAAAAAAAAATCCTAACTGGGGTTTTTATAATTTGAATTGAATTATTTTTGTATCACCCAAACAAAGAGCATCTTATGCACACAAAAAGACATTGAAGGTAGTTACCAAGAAAATCACCTTCACGTACTTATTAGGTCCTCAAAAGAAAAAGGGGGAAAAGGAAAAGAAAAAACAATAACAAAGTCTTAAATTAATACTAAAATTAAAACCAAAATAGGAAAATGAAAAGACAATAATAATATAGCTAACTCTAAGGGATCAATATTTTCTCATGATTTTTATAATCATACACTAGAGTCCAAAAAGTTTCTTCCATGCTTTAAGGATCTTGCCTCTGTTATGTTTCTTCCTCTTCTCCGCAGATCTTGCCGTCCCCACAGTGTTGTCCGCCTCTTCTTCACCGTCAAATGTTGCTGTTTCCCAAATCATAGATTGGTCGTGGATCCTGCGGTACCTTTCCGAAACAGATGACGACCTCCGCATCGAGAACGCTCTCTTCACCGTTGCCTGAAGTGCGTAAGCCGAAGAAACCGAACTGTTTCTCTTCAGTTTTGGACCGGAAGTAGTATTCCCCTCTTGCTCCGGTAACGGATCATGCTGGCCGGCGGTCTTAGTGGGGTGGTGTTGGGGTTGGTTATTGGGTGTGGGGTTTGGTGGTGCTGGCTCGGAAATAGGACTTGGGGGTTGGGGAAGTGCAGAATGATCCGGCCAGAATTGGTCTATGGATCTTGATGATTTCCCGTTGCCATTGCCTTTCATCTTGGAATAACCGTTCATTT